CATACAAGACGTAAGTGTAAATTTCTCCAAAAGAGATTCTTACTTACATCGGAGAGAAACCTGAAAGTGAACATTCCCGTCTTTTTTGTGTACCTCATAAAGTAATATCTACGTTTTTATAGTTCTTATCCGTACTATTATATAGATTAGACGATGAATAATCATATAATAACATGAATAATCAACTTTCATTGTTCGTTCTTGTCTAACTTACGTAATAGCATAGAAAAGAATCACAAAAAACGACATTACTCTATGAGGTTTGGTACACGAAAAAGGCTGAAATGTCCATTCTTAGGTTTCTCTCTGTTTATATTTACTTACCACTCTCATCTTCTCAAGTAATTTTGCGGCTTATAACATAAAATAATAAACAATAAAATTCAAATATTCAAACTTCAAATATTTTTTATATTATAAGTGGACTATAATTCGATTTTGAGCAAATTAATTATAGATATTATTATAATGAGAATAAAACTTATAGATAATGTTCAAAATATATTAGCGGGATTATCATCAGTTGGATAATAAAATGTCTAAATGCAAAATTCAATAATAATAACTTAGCAGAGTGATGTGAAAAGCTTCATAATGACGTCTATTTTGGTTTATTAAACGTTAGTATACCCAGAGAGCACAAAGTCGTCTAGAAGATGACTAAAAGACGACTAAATTGTAATAAAGATATCTTTTAGTGAAAGAATATAGTCGACTAAAAGATGATTAAAAGGCGACAGATGTCGCACTGCTAGTCTATCTTATAGTCTTATCCATATAACCATGATTTCTTTGGATATTTTTAAATACTTCTTTTAGTTTTTATATTTTAATACATATAACGTTTAATACATCGAATTCCTAAATTTTATGCAAGACGAAATAAAATTGCACGGCTGACAATACACGTTTCTATTTCCTGAAATGTTTGCCGTGCCCTATGTGCAAGTCATTACCTTTCATCATAGTCCCCTTTGGAAAGTCGATTACAAAAAAATATTTTATTATTGTTCATTAGCACACAAGTAAAATTTCTTATAATGCTGCACCTTTTATTCTGTCCTGTATGATTTTCAAACACGAGAAGCTGAACTCCATCACGTCCATCTAGTGGCGATCTCGCGTACTACTCGCGAATGAGTGATAAAAAATACTAAAATAACGGAAAGATATCTTTTTCATATTAGCTTTTTGGCAATATGAAAAGATATCTTTTAGTCGAGTTTTTGCTTTACGAAAATGATAACCATAGAAAGATGACGAAAAGATGTCATTTTTAAGTTGTCTTTTCGACAAAACTAAAAAATGTCTTATAGATATCTTTTGATCTTACTGAAAAGACAATATAAAAACAATATCTTTTCGTCTTTTAGACATCTTTCCGCTTTGTTGGAAAGACAACTTAAAAAAGACCTTTTTTCGTTTTATATCTTTTAGTATTTTGTGCTGTCTGGGTAGATATCACTCTATCATTACTCTGCTAAGCTAATTGAGATAAATATCATAGTAAAAAATAAACATATTCTGATGAAAAAATATGTTTATTTAATTAAATGTAAAAGATATTTAAAAAATGCGTAACATTTACATTATATCATTTTTATATTACTTTTAGGTTCAATATATTAAATAGATTAAATATATTAAATAGATGTCTGCATGGAGATTCTTAGTCATCTGAAGTAATAAAATTTAAATAATGTCAATTCAAAAAATTTATACATAACAATACATTTAAAGCATTTTTATAACAATAAATTAAAAAAAATGTTTACGACTAAGACATATTAATCTCTCAGTATTATTTCTTAATATTATTAGAAATACAATTATTATTTGTATTAATAATAATTGTATTTCTTTCCAAATGTAAATTCTTTATTACATTACGCCACATACCTTTTTTATTTTTAAAAAGTAGGCGCCTGAATCATCTATCCTTTCGGTGGAAATGTTTTATCTTGTATTTATATTTTACTCCATCTTGAATAAGATTCTCAATTTGTTCTGCTTCTCACGAATTGACACGTGCCGGTACAATCTATTACAGTAGATCGCGACAGACGCGCAGATCGAATCGTAATAGCATTCGGGATAAAACATTTGTAAAAGTAAAAAAAATAAATTATTCATCAGTCAGATTTTTATACGACAGCACGTGTCTCCTCGTATTATAAGCGAATTCCAGCCCCTTCGTGAAAGCTGTAATTTATTTGGCTCATATCGTGCGGTTTTTCATGTCGCTCAACTTTCCTGCTATGCTTATCGTGTACTTATCAGCGTGACACAGCTTACATTAAAAATCGTACGATATTACGAGGAGAAAAGCAAAAAATATAGTATTCTTAACGCATTGCGAATTTGGGAGAGGAGATAGACAAGGAGGTAGACAAGTATCGTGTCTGTCACCGCGGTGACATTTCGTGAGGTATAATTTCTGTGACTTCTTTTTTTTTTATCGCTCTGACAATGAGATGGAATAAGAAATAAAGAAGCGCGACACGCCTTTCTCGACAACCCGTGATTATCAAACAGACAATGTTACTTCGCAATACCGTAATACGTTATTATAGTGAATACGCGCAATATGGTACTTATGATATAGAGGATGTCTGGAAAATGTCTGAATCTTGAGGGAGAATCGACAGCTGCGCAACAACCAAGTCGGGGAGATGCAGTCGGCGGTGAAACATTATTATAATATTAACAAGATCCTATTGTCGAAACTTGGCGGTTGGCCAACACAAAGTAAATTCATGAAGATATTGTTGCCAACCATAATAATGTCTTTTGTTTTTAGCATCGGTTTTCTCGAGGTAAATTTTTGCCATTCTTTATGTTGTCAGTAAAACTATGTGTATCGGTGTAAAAACCGCTGCATGACTAAAATTTGCAAAAGGAAGAGAGAGAGAGAGAGAGAGAGAGAGAGAGAGAGAGAGAGAAAAGAAAAGAGAAAAAGACTATCTCCATATGGTTAGCATGTGTGTAGCGTATTTTAGACGTGATTGGAGAAACATATAGCATCAATTTCGAAGCCCTCTTTCTAAATTTTTTGACGCGATAAAATATTTCAAATATTCACCTTTTTCTAAAAACTTGAATGTGTGTGTGTGTGTGTGTGTGTGTGTGTGTGTGTGTGTGTGTGTGTGTGTGTGTGTGTGTGTGTGTG